CAATTCAAAACACGTGTTGATATGAAATACTCGAGGTTCTTCTAATCTATATATATTGTGACTGGACTTGAAGTACCTTCCAAATAATGAAGCCATTCTTGAAATGAATCTACAATTATAAGAAGTTTTTTGTTGTGGATCTCATAGTTAATCTCTACTATTTAAAATTTCTTGGAATAGACAGTTATTAGATGGAGTTTGTTATTTGTTCCTATTTGTTATAATACTGCACTCAAGGCAAAGTATGATGCATTTATTTCTATAAAAAATACCTTAAAAAAATTGATGTGATACAAAATTGGTGCAGAAGTAAATTCCTTCTTCAAAACAACAAATAATGCTTTAATTTCTTTATTCCAATTAAGTTTGTCTTTACAAGTCAAACGTATAAGTAGAACTATAATTTGAAAAAAAATCTTGATAAAGATTCGATAATAATTGACAAAGCCCAAAAAACATTGCACATCTCTTATTGTTCTTGAGATCTTCCAATGTATGATGGTTTGGACTTTCTTTGGATCCATCATAAGGCCTTCATTAGAAATGATATATGCCAAAAAATCAACTTGAATAATGTGGAATACACACTTTTTTATCTTTATGTATAATCCTACTACTCATAGTTTTTGTAATACATAACAAAAATAAACTTCATGCTCTTTTATATTCTTAGAATAGATTAAAATATCATCCAAATAATAGATGATAAAATCATCAAGAAACTCACAAAAGACATCATTCATTAGCTGTTGAAAAGTAGCTGGTGCATTCGTGAGTCCAAAAGGCATGACATTATATTTGAAATATCCATATCTAGTTCAAAAAGTAGTCTTTTATTCATCTCATTCTTTGATGCAAACTAGGTTAAATGCTCCTTGTAGTTTTATTTTTATATAGATCTTTGCTTGATTTAATTGATTAAGAGGTCTTGAAATCAAAAATATAAGATACCTATTCTTGATGGTGATCTTATTAAGTCTTTGATAGTCCACACATATTTACAAAGATCCGACTTTTTTCTTTACAAATAAAATAGGAGTCCTAACTGGAAATTTAGAATGGTGTAGAAAGTTCTTAGATAAGTTTTCATCAATATACTCTTTAAGTGCAGCTAACTCATTTTAAGATAGGCTATAGATTGGTCCAAATGGTGGTTGAGTTCTTTCTTGAAGATCAATAGAACAATCATAAAGATGATACTTTGGAAGAATATCTTCATTCTTCTTTTCAAAAACGTCTTAAAAATCTTAGTACTTGTTAGGAATACCACTTGATATCTTCTCACCATTAGCAATAGATGTGGCATATATAACAAAAGATGGTCTTTTATTTGTGATACACATGAAACCTCTTGTACTTATCAATAATAGTTTGGATATACTAGACTTATGGTTTTCTAATCACCTAGCAAGACATTAAACTAAACTATGGAAAAAATCAAGATTGTAAGAAATCCAATGTATTTGAGGATTATATCTTTTTAATCATGATAATTCTAAAATAATTAAATTAGAGGGAGATTTAATCAAATTAAATATTATTAAACTATTGTGACTATTAATTGATACTTTTATAAGAATGTTTTCATATATAATAATCTCTAAAAGATAATAAACATCCATCTATTACTTCTACATGCACAAGTTTGATTTTCTTAACGAAGAATATATCTTATGTTTTGATAAAGTCTTCATCTATAAAACAGACTGAGGTTCTTGAATCCAACAAGGCTAAGTCTTTGTGATTTTTTTGATCTTAAATAGACTTCTATTATAAAATAAGGTGAAAGATCTGAGGAGAGAATAAAATCTTTACTAGATGTTATGTATGATTCCAATCATTTAGTCCCTATTATAGCTGGAACAACTCAATCTCTTTTATATTGTCTTTTTTTCCAATTGTGCTTTTCATTTTGTAATTGCGTTGTTTCTTTAGATAATGTTGAGTAATATGTTTAGCTTTTCTATAGTATAAGCATAAGCCTTCTTGACGTTGTTGACTTTTTTTTTGTTGTATGAGGGATATAAAAGTTACTATATCAATTTGCATTGATTTTGGCCTTGTTGAATAAGTTTCTAAATATTTAGGAGCTATCATCATTATTTAATTTTTTCCTTTCTAGCAAAACTTTGTTCTTGTTGTCTTTCAAATAATTGATTGTCACATATAATGGCTTCAGCAAAGAATTGTTCTAAAGATTCTACCTTTGGCATTGTAAGTAGTAAGTCTTTGACACTATCCTTCAATCTATATTAAAATTGATTGATAAAGGCTTTGTCATTCCAATTCACATTGAAAGCGAGGTTTTGGAATTTAACAGCATATATGGTAATAAACCATGATCCTTACTGTAAAGATAATAGCTTGATCACTGCTACTCTTTTTTGATCTTTTTCTCTTAATATGGCTATAAATACTTTTAAGAATAAATTTAAATCATAAAAGAATTGAATTTTTTCTATTAAAAGTATAATTCAAAAGACTGCATGTCTTGATAGAAGTATGTCTATGAATCTTACTTGAGTAAATCTATCAAGGTATTGGATGCAATCTTAGATAAAACTTCACTTGTTGTAAAAATCTTCAAAATTTTGCTCTTATTGCATCAAACTTCTAAGGCATATTAATCCTTGTTCCCATCATACTTGTAGAAGCAAAATTCCATAGATTTGGTTTTGAGGTCAACTTACTTGTTTCTTTCAACTATACAACTTTTTGTTGTAGACTTTGAACTTCTTCTATAGGCATAGGCATAGTACCTCCATTATTCATGTTGGAAATTCATGAGATTTTTTCTCTTAAAGTATTGACAAGCCTATGAAGATTTGAAATACTTGCAAAACTATTCTCACTTTTACTAAGAGTAGCATCCATAATCTTTCCTTCCATAGAAAACTCAAATAAATTCAAAAAGTTAAATTAGAGGAGGGTAATGAACACTCACTAATATAAATTTTTACAAAGAGGGATAATCTACTCTCTTTAAGAAAAAGATCAATGTTAGAATTTTTTTTTTTTTTTTTTTTTTTTTTTTTTTTTGTTTAAAGGTAGTTAGTCCAAAACCTTCAAAATACAATAATAGAAGTGAGATAATCTACTCACTTCTAAAACAAAAAAGAAACAATAGATTAGCAATCTTGTCAAACTATCAAAGATATGAATCTTAATAAAAGATAATCTTTAATACACTCATGTATCATTGAAAGAAATTAAAAAGTTATTGAAAGATAATATAATATTGAAGTATGATAGCTATTGCCAAAAACAACAAGACTAGAAAGTCTTAGAACAAGAGTAAAGACTAAAAAGGTATTGACAAGAGTGAAGAAGCCTTTACTCTTGCCTCCATATATTCTCTTAACTAGGAGCTATGTGGCAATGTCTTATAAGACCTCCAAAACATGTTGACTTTGCAAGACATGTATCTTCTCTTGCAAGATAAGTTTTCTACATGTGCGCCATATAGTTAGCTTGTTCCACAAGTTAGCAAGTTGTGGATAACTTGTTGACCAAGTTTGTAACCTACCAATCAACTATAAATACATATAAAGTCAAAGCAGCATCTATGAAGCTTTTAGAAAGCTTTTTTAGAAGGTCTTATGAAATAAACCTACTTTCATCTATTCCTTCCTAATTATATAGGTATTTATTAGAGTACCTATGTATGTCAATGACATTAAGTTGCAGTAAAGAAGTAAGAATATAAATACCAAACATTGTGTGCTTTGAATGAACGATGTTATGGTTATTTGTTCTATTACATGAAGCAAGCACTATTATGATATAACATAAAATCAAGCATCCAATTGAAATGATACTTATATTTTAGAGCAATTGGAGACAAGTATATAAGTTTTGAAAAAAAATGATGTGATTTGGTTGATTTGAAGTAGTGACACGTTGATTTCTTTTGGAGGTAGCATCCTCAAAGATTCCTATAAGAAGCATTATTTCTTGACCTTGCTTGTTGATCGATGAGCATGACCATCGAAAGGAGGGCTGTCACTTTCCTTATCTTTATACTTATGTCAAGTGATAGGACCTACATTATACATTTCATCAATCACAATTCTCTACATGTTTTGAATATGCATATAATAAGATTAAGTGTGCTTGTAGGGAGTTAGAGTATGCTTCTGGCTTCAAATTATATATATATATATATATATATATATATAAGTTATACAATTTTAAGAAAGTAAAAAATATTTGTAAATTATTATTTTTTAATTATACTTATAAAAAATTTGATGAAAAAGTTATGAAAATAGGTAAGATTTAATAGTATTAAAATAATAATAATTAAAAATATTATATCTTTAATATCCTATAAATATCAATTTAATGTCTTATATTTTATATTTTAACATTTAAAAAATTTATAGAAAAAAATTTGAAAGTAAAGAACAAATTTAATCATCCATAAAATAAAAAAGATTCAAAATCAAAAGATAAAGCAAATAAGTACATTACTTAGAAAAGACAAATAATACAAAGAAAAATCTTATATATTTTATATCTTACAAGATTATTTATCTTAAATTTATTAATAAATTAAAAAAATAAAAATAATATTTATTTAATGATTTTTGACTTAATATAATAAAAAATATTATAAAATAATGACTACAAAAAAATTAAAATAAATAATAGTTTTTTCTAAATAAAGTTCAAAATAAATGAGATGCAATAAACTATCTAAAAAAGAAAAAATCTTAAAATGATGTTGCAAAATATGACTAAATATTAAAATAGAACCTCAACTATGATGTAATAATTCCTCTGCTTCACCATTTACTTTACAATATTATCTCAAACCTTAGATCAACACCTCTACTATCCTCCTTCAAATTAGCTTCAATTCGAGCTATTTAGTTGAAAACATCAAACGTTATCTATCTGCAACCAGCTGCAGTTCAGCTTTCCAAACCATTTCAAGAACAAGCAGTTTCTCCTAATGCAATCACTATAAACACATGACAAACTACCATTGTTAGAAATAAAGGTCACAATTGCAAATTTCACGTCAGATCCTGCATGAATTGCAATTTTGTCTCGAACTCCGCCGACATGTGAGAGCATTGTACGAAAATGGTAATGATTCAAAAGACTGAACATATGCGTAATGACAGGCGCAAAAGATAGCGATAAACATAGCGTCCTAAGTAACCACCACAACTTTTGAGGCAATTCGTTTTTCTCCTCCGTTTGGTGTGCTCCAACACCAAGATTCATCTTCATTGGACTTTGATCCATGTTGTAAGCCCCTGTTGCCTGCAGCGGAGCAAAACGAATTACTTGATTATCCTCGCTGTACCACATTGCTCATGAAGTGCTCGCAAACCTTCGCATAATTCACATCCCAGGCGCGCTAAAACCATGAAAAAACTTCCAGTTTGCATTTGAGATAATGAGGTAGAGAAAAATGAAAAATCTACCCCCCTAAGTTAGAATCATAGGGCGCTTGCTGAACGTGCTCGAACAGAGAGGATGATTTTGGCCGCGGTTGGAAATGCTGCTCTGTACCTTCAAGAATGACCACCCAGAGTCGCGATCCTCCTCTACTGCAAAGCAGCTCTTTCGATGCCTGTGTATCTAAGCAATCACAAATTCTATCAGACATGGTACAATTGTGACGGTCCACAATTACAATCTAACCTACGACGGTGTAAATCCAAGAAGCACCGTCACAACGTCTAGAAACTCGAAAGTAAACAGAAATATGAAAAACAACAAAAACAAAAACAAAAAAAGAGTACTCAATTATCCAGAAAGCTATGACCCCACAACCCAACCGCAGAGCCACCACAACCATCACACCTACCATCGACCCACGAACACTTTCCCAACTTTCTCAACAAACAAGCTGTTTCCAACACATCAAGTCAATTAAACGCCATCGGCATCAACTAATGCCAAAAGCTGAACAACAAGTGGGTCTATAATCTTCCTCAGCCCCTCAACGACAACAAAGCTGCGGAGGATTCAAGCAACTAGCCAAGCACACAAACGCATTTGAAATTGTCACAAGCAACGAGAGATGATCGATCTAATGACCACTCAAACAGCAGAGAAGCAAACAAATTCCCATCAATTTCGTTGAAAAAAGGAAGGCAATAAACTAGCCACCAAGAAACAGCCCCCAGACTTAACAATAGAAGAAGACGAGTTTTTGAAATGGGTGTTAATTCAGGATAGACCCGAGATTCTTTGGGTTTTAACCTAAAAGTTTTTAACTACGCTAGCAATGAAAAGATACAAGTGTTTTGTCTACTTAAGTTTGTTTTTTAAATACAGAACATTTGAATGTTTTCAGAACACGACCGTAAGCAGAACTCATATGTTAGACAAATATTTACTTAAATGAAATAAAAGATAATATATTCATAAATTAATGTATTCATAAAGTGGTATAATTAACTTGGATCAAAAGTTACGTGTCAAGACTAACAGATCAATCTGAGTACTGAATAGTGTATAAAAAATGCTTCTTAAGATTACATAGGCTATACTGTATTGCTTTTTAGTTTTTAAAACTATAATTTTAAAATATAAAAGAATATCTAGAAATCAACCAAGAAATCTAACAATATCATCGAATAATATCAACGTTTTAAAGGTGTATAAAATTTAGGTAGTGCACTATGTTTTGGTACTTGTGTAGTTTTTTGATGGTTTGGTTGAGAATCAGATTATATAAAGTTGGACTATGCCAGCTTTTTTACAAGAGTTAAAATCAACATGGTACATAATAAAATACAGAATGCCGTTGAAATCATTATGGTAAATTTTACTGTGATGAATACATGTGCTGCTAAAAAACTAATCCTCATTTGCAATACGGACAACATTGCCACCATAACCCCACAGGTCCTGAAAAAGCAGTGCACGCGGCGAATGCAGTTCCTAAAAATGAAGGCCACGCGATCCAGCCACACTAGCACACCAGCAAGAATGCTGTAACATTGGATCGATTCATGCATTGAGAATCGATGTGGGATTTCTGTTGTAGGGCCGGTATCAGTTGAACCTGCGGCAGTTCAGCCTGATCTCACCAGCGCTGCCGGTGAGCACGCCAATGTTGCTCATGCGTCGAATCGCGTCTGCGAATTTGGTTCGGAACGTACCCGGCTCGGCATTGTCTGAGACCATCGGTTGTGTCTCCGGGTCGCTCTGCAGGTTCTGATCCGACGTGAGAAGCCCCTTGTTGACCTGCAGGTTTTTGTAGTACTCCGAGTCTAGATTGGTGGGCGTCGTCACGTCCAGGTCCACAAGGTTGTTGGGTTTGTCTGCGGGGCACTGCCTCTTCAGCGACTCGGCGTAGTCGGGATCCATATTGGCGTCAGAGGGAGTGGTGAGGCGATTTCGGAAGAAGGAGCATCGCGCTTTCCCTATGCTGTGGGCGCCGGACAGCACCACCATGTCCTCCGTGGACAGACCCACGGCCTTGAAGAGTAACTTGAGAGTGGTCGCAGAGGCGGTCGGTGGGGGCAGTCTGCCGGTTACGAGCAATGCATTGGACACGAGCCCGTCCCTGCGTCCTAAGGCGACTGGATATGTGATCGTCCCATCTGACAACTGCGCAGATTTGATCAAACATGGCCTGGTTTCAGAAAAACTACAACGCTACATCCTTGCAGAATCATTACTCCAGAGGAATATTGCGCGCACAATAGTTCAACAAAGATTTCAATCACTCGACGTCGTAGCAGTAGAGAATATAGCTGAATGTTTCACGAGAAAAGAAAGTTTGAGAGTTGTACCAATCTGACGCTTATTTGAGCGGCCAGAGCAAGAACGTCGGAGCACGAGACGATTCCAGGGCACTTCGCTTCCACGGCTGCTTTGGCTTCGTCAATGACGTCGAATCCTTGGAGGCTTTGGTTGGGCGCGGCATCTTTCTCGGATGGGGAGTCGATCAGTACAGATGCATCGCAACCCTGCACATATTGTTGCACACCAATATGAATTACGATCACGAGTCTTAGTGAAAAAAAAGACCTCCGACAATTGATAAGTTGTTCGTCCACCAGTCTCGAGTAGCCGTGGAAACAAGTGACAAATTCGACAACCCTTTAACCAGAATATGATACTCAGAGTGTGACGTAGAGGAGCTTACATGAACGAAACAATCGTGGAATAGCATGCGAATAATGCCGGCAGCTGCAGCTGGTCTTCTACTTAATGCCGATGTGACGGCGACCGAGATGATTGTCTCAGCGTCCTTGCAGGTGCTTCGGTAGAAGTTAGTGCTCAGCTGAGCTTGTATTGTCGTCACAGATGCAAGACACATAAGCAGAATACACAGAAGTGGCAGCCTTACGGTGAGGGCTGCTGCCATGTTAGTGGTCCTCATGGCAGATCTCGCCAGGAGCGAACTCGACAAGTGAAGAAAGTATCTGTTCTAAATCCGTGCAGACCTTCAAAACATGTGTAGCTTTCCTTCCTCTCAATCTTGGGAGTTTATTGTACTCGTGGACTCGAATGAGTACTCTCGAAGTTGGCAACTTATAGAAGCCAGTAAGCATTATAGCCAAAAGCACCGTGATTACTGCAAAACCATCCACAGTTTGATCCTAACTTGACGCAGTGGATTGGTTTTCTTTTTCGTTAGTAAATCCTCTGGCTTCTTTCATAACGGCACTTACAGGTCTATTACGAGGTGCTTTCAGATAAACCTGTCACCTGACTATGCACAATAGCCTGTCTCGAAGTTCCAGCTAAGAATGCTCGGCTGCTTCGTTGTGTCCATGTTCACTCCAACTCGTTTGACAACGTTTTTATCATGCTACGATATGATAATATGATTATCATTCTCAGGACGAACTACCACCATACAACATTAAACTCGCTACTGATCACAAAAAATACTGGATTATCGCCAACAAACAATTTAACAGAAATTAAGAAGTCCAATATTTTCAGTATCATTGCAGCACATGATTCATCTGAATTGATAGAACTATTTTCCTGGGAGTGAACGTTTTTTTTTTTTTTTTTTTTTTTTTTTTTGCAGTATCATCAATTGGCTTGCATAACCATAGAAAAACAACGCAATTCACGAAGTTGGGGTGCAAATAGATTAGCAACAGGGATCTTTTCTAGGTGAGGCACATCTCCTCGAAATGGCTGTGATTGGGAGCGGATGAACTTAGCTTAGAAATCAACTCACCTAAAATAAAGTCGTGCGCACATTCGGTTTGCAATGAACGAAATTGGTAGCGGAATGGATAGGGGATTTTGAAGACGCAGGATGGAACATTCTGTATACTGACTGTCCACCCTGCTTGCCACTAGAGCAATCTTGCTCACCTTATACCAAAAATCATCATTCTAGGATTTAAATTTTCGTGAAAAATCATGTCATCACGCAAACAAGCTCATTTCTAATTACTAATCGTCCCTGTACGTTTCAATATTATTTTGTTTAATATTGGCAACGGAGAATCCGGTTTGACAAAAGTACTGCACTAGGCTTTGCTCGATTAATACGACAAACTGTTGGTGATGCACGGATAATGTGGAACTCCGATCATGAGAAATGTAAGAAGGTAGAATCATCTGTTCATTTCTTCCAATCTGCAAGATCGGTATATTCAATTTAGAAATTGATATCGAAAATTTGACACCGCAGGGGTAAACCCTATGAAAGAATCCATCAGGGATGGCGTCACGTTCAATTTCACTTTCCTCAGTTTTACACCCTACTAACTTGCAGCTGGGAGTTATTCTTGAAAAAGTACACTGGTCATCCAAGTCAAGCTTTCGAATTCCTGAAAATGAATTTGGTGATTAAGCATGACATAAATGAGCATATGCAACTAACTTCTATTTTTGTTCCCTGCGTGGGTAGCATGCTCATAGTGAAGGTAGCCCGTGATACGTTCGGGTGTTTGGAAAAGGGAGCGCGTGATCTGTTCGGGTGTTTGAAACCTCACGATGTAAGGAAATGGTCAACGGCCGATCAAACAAAGCAACCCTGACGAGCAGGAAGGTCCACTGGTCGACACGAGATCACCCCAAGTGAGTCATGTCTCCAGGACAAATACTCCACAGAACGGAAACATTGAACGCCATCTTTTTAAAACTTTATTGATTGCAATTTTCTCCCCTAAATTTGCTCCGGCAACAGATCTGAAGATTTAATGGGAATTACATTTTACAGGATTGAGAAATAATGAAGCAAAAATAGCTGTTTAATTGGTCAGTGTTTGTTTGCTTTGTTCCATGACATTTTGATTATAACATGTGCTTCACTTTCTGTTCTCTTGCCTATTTTAGAACGTATGTCACAAACATTACTCCATTTTTGATAAATTATTAATTTTGTAATATCAATAAATTAATAAATATCACTAAGCTATTATCATCATTTGTTGTTACATCAACAGAAATAGTAATACTATTGGCTAAATGTGTAATATGTGGTCAACTTATTAATCTAGTAATTATTTACAAACATGTCTAAAGTCTACAAAGCTTTTACAAAGTTTTCTATTAAGATATTAACAATTTAACTTATTTCTACTTATTTCTAACAAATTCTACTTATGTAAGTAAATATAGTAGTGAATCTACCTATCCATTGAATATAAAAGATTATAACTAGCAATTTTTTTATATTATTCTAATTAATATTTATTAATTTATTAGTACCACTTTCTACAAAATAAATATCAATTAGAATAAATTGCATAGAGGGAATTATTAGTATCACTTTTTATAAAGACTTCATTTACAAAGAATGTGCTAATTTATAGGTACTATATGTATAATGATTGTTTGAATTTGTATAAAGATTATTTAAACTTTTTACAAGGTAATTTTGATCTTATTGTACAAATCTTTAAAAATAACCTATATAAATATCTTCTTTTAATTTTTCATTTAAAAAGGCAAAATTTATATTTTTTTTGTATATTTATGTATCATAGACATATATATTTACTCCAATAGTTATTTATATGATTAGATAGAAGTAGGTAAATGTACATTTATTTCATAATATCTTCTAAAGAAGCCTCCTAAAAGCTTCATAGATACAATTTTGACTTTATATGTATTTGTAATTGATTGATATGTTAGAAACTTGGTCAACAAATTAACCATGTATTACATGTATTGGTAGTTTGTGGAACAAGCTAACTATGTGATACATATGTAGATAACTTGTCTTTTAAGTTAAAACATATGTCTAGCAAAGTCAATAAACATTGGAGGTCCTATAGAAGATAACTATATAACTCGAAGTTAGGGAATATATATGAAGATAAGAGTGAAGCCTTCTTTACTCTTATCAATACTTTTTTAATCTTTAGTCTTGTTTCAAGACTATTTAGTCTTATTATCTTTGGCAATAACCATTATAGTTCAATATATTACTATTTTTGAGTAACTTTTTAATCTTTTTAAGTGACACAAGAGTGTATTGAGTTTTCTTTCTTTAAGATTCATGTCCTTAATAATTATCCTCGTCTATTTTAACTTTTTGAATTTATTTGAATTGTTTGTGGAAGAAAAGATTATGGATGCTAATTTGAGCAGAAGTGAGAATAAATTTACAACTATTGCAGATCTTCATCAACTTGTCAACATTCTAAGAATAAAAATCATATATACTTCTAATATAAATTATGAAAGTACTATTCCTATACATATGAAAAAAGTCCATAGTCTATGCCAAGAAGTTGTGTAGTTGAAGGAAACAAGTAGATTAGCTTCACAAAAAAAAAAAAAAAAAAAAAAAAAGACTTACTCCTACAAGCACAAAAGAGGAAAAAATTAATAAGCTTGAGAAGTTTGATGGAACAAAATCAAAATTTCAAGGATTCTTATAATGAATAAAGCTATATTTAAAATTACACCTTTTCTAATATTCCAATGGATTTACACAAGTTGGATTTGTAAGTACACTTCTATTGGAAAGTACTTTCTCTTAATTTATACCTTTGATGGAAAAAGATTAACGACTATTGTATGATTTAAATTCATTCTTAGAAGTATTTATAGCTATATTTAGAAAAAGTCATCTAGTAAGGATAGCAAAGATGAAGCTTGTATTACTACAACAAAGATTATATTCAACAACCATATATGTTGTTGAATTCCAAAATCTTGCTTGTAACGTGGATTGAAATAATAAAATCCTTATCAATTAGTTTTGATATGGGTTAAAAGATAATATCAAAGATTTATTGTTAATCATGTCAAGAGTAGATTCTTTAAAATAATTTGTTGCTTAAGCCATTGCATGTGACAATCAATTCTTTGAAAGATGGCAAGAATAAAGATTTGGTTGAAAAAGTGCAAGTTAAGCTATAGCAATACCTTATAAGTTTTCAGAAGCAAAAGAAGGATCAACTTTTACTATATACAGTATACCTATTATTGATAAAGAAAAGATTTCAAGTAGCATTCCAAGCCAATACCAAGATTATTAAGATATTTTTGAAAAGAAAAATGTAGATATTCTTCTAAAGGATCATCACTATGATTGTTCTATTAATCTTAAGGATAGAGCTCAATCACCATTCAAATCTATTTATAGTATATTACAAAATAAGTTGACTATACTCAAAGAATAAATTAATAAAAATTTAGATGAAAACTTTATATGCCATTCTAAATCTCCAACAAAAGCTCCTATTTTATTTGTAAAGAAAAAAAGCGGATCTTTGCTGATGTGTGTGGACTATTCAGGACTCAACAAGATCACTATCATGAATATGTATCTTCTATCCTTGATTTCAAGACTTCTTGATTATCTGAATCAAATAAAAATCTATATAAAAATAGATCTATAAGGAGCATATAATTTGGTAATTATTAAAGAAAGAGATGAATAAAAATTTGTATTTTAAATCAAGTATGGATATTTCAAATATAATGTCATTCCTTTTCGACTCACAAATGCACCAGTTACTTTTTAATATCTAATAAATAATATCTTTTATGAGTTTCTTAATGATTTTATTATTTGTTATTTAGATAACATCTTGAACTATTATAAGAATATAAAAGATCATGAAGTTCATGTTTGCCATGTATTATACAAATTAAGAGATGCAAAGTTATATGCAAAGATGAAATACTATATATTTCATACTACTCAAGTTGACTTCTTAGGATACATATTAGGGACATAATCCTTAGAACCTTCTAGAGACAAGTTTCTAGAACCTTGTCACGGCCATAATCATGTAAGCTAATAATTACATATAGAAATAGGCAGAAGTAAGTAAAAGTAGATAAAAGTAAGTTAATTCTATAATATTTAATATAGAAGCTTCTTAGAAACTTCCTAGACGCTGCTTTGACTTCATAGGTGTCTTTAATTGACTTTTTGGATTAGAAACGTGGTCAACAAGTTGGCCATGTGCCACACATGTTGTTAGCTTGAAGATCAAGCTAACTATGTGGCCCACACGTAGAAAAACTTGCCTTGTAAGTCAAGGCATGTGTCCTACAAAGTCAACACATATTGGAGGTCCTATAGAATGTCGCCACGTAGCCCC